TTAGAGAGAGAGAGAGAGAGAGGGAGGAAGGAAGGAAGGAAGGGAGGAAGGAAGAAAGGAAGGAAGGAAGGAAGGAAGGAAGGAAGGGAGTCAGGGAGGGAGTCAGGGAGGGAGGGAGGGACCGAGGGACAGAGGGACGGAGGGACGGAAGGAAGGAAAGAATGTAAGAGGATGGGATGGATACCTGGCCTGTTTGTATATCTCCCAGGTCTGGCCTGCACAGTCAAAGACACTGGTTAATTAGACCTTGTGGGTTCACCCGACAGGAGGGCTGAGCGCCCTGCAGAGATGCTCTGGAAACCACAGTGCCCACCTCCGTGTCTCCCCCGAGGCTAGAACACTGTCGCTGCCAGGGCCTGGGCTCCCGGCTCCCATATGCCACCCACGGGGCCCCAAAGAACCCTCATCCAGTGTGCACTCCCATTCTCGACATCGCCCCTACATCACTGCAATGGTGGGAGGGGTCCCAGATCTGAACCAACGCCCTGACCCACGTAGCACACTCCGTGGAAGAGCGCCCGATTCGGCGTGAATGCCCAGGATTCAGGAGTCCAAAGCCAGAGACTGGGGACCTGGTCTGCTGGTAACAGCCGGCGGGCGCTAAGGGCTCGCTCGGGCCGGGGGCTGTGGGGCCCAGCCTCCACCACCGCTCCTAACCCGGGGCCGATGCCTCTGGGCGGCGGGCCGTGCGCGGCTGCACGACGGGATGCTGAGTGTCTGTACGCGGGGCCGCCTATATTTACACCCCAAACAAAATAATTACACTTTTGTCGGAGGGAGAAAGCCAGTGATTAGGAGCCGGCTCTTTGCGGCAAAGCAGTTTCTCAGTGGTACACCAGTATAATTTTTCACGGCTGGCTGAAATCAAAGAGGGGAAGTAATGAATCCGGCGAGCAATTTAAATTTACAATTTGTAACGCCGCCGCCGCCGCGCAGACCCGGCCGAGAGCGCAGCTCCAAGGCGCTCGCTGCGTTTGTTTAATGTTAAAGCCGCGCTGGCTCTTGGGGGGGCGGGGATGAGGATGCGTGATGGGGGGTTAGTGATAACGGTGGAGGTCGTGAGGAAACCGGCTGCGTCGTCCGAGATGCTACGGGAAAAAGATGGCGAGAGACGCACCTCCTGGATCCCCCACCCCAGTCATCGCAGGACCCTCAGCTTGTGCCTTCTCCAAAAAGCAGGTGGCTCAGAAGGTGGCAACCTGCTAAGAAGACCGAGAAGAGGGACTCTGGGCGCCAGGGAAGCCCCTTTCTTGCTTAGCTGAAGTATCTCCCATGCAGGGAATTTCCAGGAGAATACAGACGGCAACCCAACCCAAATGTCCTTGTCAACCCATGGGAAGAGGGACTCCAAGAGCAATCTCCCACAGCTGTCCAGTGTCCCAACCTGGAGACCCGGAGAAAGGCAGCCCATGCCCAGCTCCGAAGCATCTAAAAACTCCCACTCTGGGCAGGAGGTGTGTGTCTCCTCACCAGTAATTAATTACAGAACTCAAGGGGGAATATGCAAAGAACGTATTACTAACTCTACAGGGCTTAAGTGATTGGAAACAGATTATTATCTTGTTTGTCTTTTGTCTGTTTCATTTATCCCAACGCCTTCTGTCGAGTTGTAATGTTGAAACTCTTTACTCTAGGAGGAAGATTTTTACATAGTAAATTCCATCAACATCTTGTCTAAGTGACTTTGAGTCTTGGCGCATCACCCTGTTAAGACACAAGCGGTTTATTAGTTACATACAGCAGAGAATTTCACTGCCTGGTGGCCATCTGTCAGGGCTGTTAGGGTGGGTAATATATAAAGTAGCTGGTCTGATATTTTTTACCGGTGTTGTGTACCAGGGAAAGAGGTGAGCCCAAGGCTTCAAACTTCTGTGCTGTCTGCCAGGCACTGGGTGTTTCTGGAAGTGGGGTTGGGTTACATTGGTGGCAAGGCACCCAGAAGACTCTGGGGGACTGTAATCCAGGCAAGTTCCAACCCACATCTATAGCTGCTGGTTCAGCCCCAGGTAGCCCACTCACATCCCAGCTTGGGAAGTGCCAGGGTGGCTTCTCTCTCTACTACAGTTCCCTCCCTGGTCCTGAATTCTACTAGCTGGAGTGTGATTGCACTAGACTTGGAGGTACATTCTAGGAGAAGTGGGTGGGTGTCCCAGAGTAGAGAATCAGAAAAAGCTGGGTGCACACGCAGTTCCCCAGCGGCTGCAATGGACAGATCCCTAGCTGGTGACACACTCAGGGTTGGTGTGTTAGATTCCTTGTAGTGAGTTCAGGGAGCATGTGAACACAGTTTGAGGTCCAAGGAGAGAGCCTGAGACTAGGCTGTAATGTGAGAGTGTATGTTTTCTCCACACATCCCAAAATTCTCGCACAAGAGTAAGCAGCCCTTGAAGTGTTTTGGTAGATGTCAGTCTCAGAAACGGGGGCAGAAAAGTTTAAAGAGAAAAAAAAATGCGGAGGGGGGATAGAGGGAGGAAAACGGAGAAACAGGCCAGGGAAACAGGAAGAGAGGAGTCACTGAGCTACAGAGAGAAGAAGCACAGAGTGAGGAGAGAACTCAGGGAGACTGGGAGCCTCCTCCAGACAAAGGCAGAGGGCAGCAGGGCGCCTCTGCCTGGAGCCTGGCGCTGCTCCCTTCCTCTCTGGGCTCTTGTTCCTTTCCGGATCTGTCCTGCCAGAGCTCAAGGACCATTCATGCCCCAGGCAGACAGGCCAGGTGCTATTAGAGACAATTCTGGCTCTCAAAGCCTCTCTCCATAGGCCTAGGAAACCCAAGTGTGATCCAGCCTGCTTCTTTCTGGTCACTGGTGCCTGTCCCCTGACAAAATAGCAATGAAGTAGCAGCACCCATCCACAAAAGCTGCCTGAATTTGGGAAACGTTTGTCCAAAGATCCAACTAATAGGCCAATGCCTCACCAGGGGACAGCCTCTATCAGTTCCCCATTCCTAGCAAGCTTTCCTTCCACTAAAGAATGTGAGGGACTGCACAGAAGATGAGGGACAATCAAGCGTCTTTAAGCCCAACACAGGCTCCTACAAGTCCAGTCCCCAAGCCCATGAAGGCAGTAAGTACTGCATGAGTACGCACACAAATACAGATGTATCCCCCCAGACCTACAGGAGTCACGTAAATAAAATCCCACGGTCCAAACATACACACAGAGATGGGCACACATATGGATCTAGAAAATTCTGTGCCTAGGATCACACCAGCCCAGCTCAGTCACACACAAGGTCTCTGGTGGGAACACACACATTTACACAGACACACATTCAGATTTGTTAAAAACCAGTATTTATACAGCTTACAAGAGTGATCTTACACACCCTACACCAGCAAAGCATCCTCTTACACCAGATGAACTCAAGCAGACACACATACACACGGACCAACAAAGAGTTCAATGCATACATTAACACACAAGAACATTATCAGGACCACATGCAATTATAAACACATAAATACTCAAGAGATATGAGTAAAACAGACTGCCCCATGTGATCACAAAAACACTATAGAGTAAAAGTAATGCAGTTTTCAAATAGTGGATATATACCAGCAAACTCAGTAAATATCCCCAAATATTCACAGCAAAGTCTTGGCTTAAATTCTGTCTGGCTCCAAACCTTGAGCCTGAGGCGGTTGCCACCAGCCCTCTTCCAGGCAGGGGAACAAATATTGCAAAACACATTCCCAGCCTCCCTCACTGTGACTAGGCTGGCCTCCCTGAAATAGGGACTTAGCCCTCTTTTCTCCCCCTTCAGGCCCTACACACGTCTCCCTACACCAGCCGGCACCCCCACACGTGGACAGTTCCTCCAGGTCCTAGGAAGGATGGAATTTAGAGCCCACTGGACCAGCGAGTGCCAAAGGCCCTGGTACAGCTGCCAATCCCCCCTCCAGCCCCCTTGCGTTGTGACCCACTCACCACAGCTCCCTACTGACTGGCAGGGAATGCAGACTGCGTGGCAGATAGAGACTTGGTGAATGCCACCTTCAAGCTGCCTATGAAAACACAGGTCCAAGGTAGACCTTCCCACCTCCCTTCCGAGACCCCAGAGCCCAGTGAGCTGGGCGCTCAGGCCTGACACTCCGGAATCCCAGACCAGGCCAGGTGACAGCCTTGTCCCAAGGAGACCTGGGAGGGGAAAAAAAGTACCCAAGCCTTGTGCCTGCACTCCTGCACTCTCTCCAATAGAAAAGCCCGGCTGCTGGGCCCTTGCCTGGTGTGTGACAAAAGAAACCCAGGGCCGGAGAACTGCTTGGTCTCAGCTCAGGCGCTCAGACCCCAGTCCAATGGGGGAGGGGTCTGGGCAGGATGGAGGAGGTGGACCACAGTGCCTGGGCAACTTCTGCAAGTTCCCGGGATGGCAATGGAGTGGGAGGTCCCTCTTTGACTAGGCCTTGGAACCCTGGCCCCCAAATATTTGCGAAGAGAAAGAAAGAGAGCCGTGGTTTTCGGACCGCGCCCCCACCCCCATCCCCAAACTGGAAGGTAAATACTTACTTACCCTCGGAACCAGGTTCAGGCAAAATACTCAACAATACTGATGTCTTGTTTTTTTTGCTCTGTCCGGACCGCAACGCTGTAGCCAATTTAGATATGCTATAAATTTAAGAGGTTGCCATGGCCACGGCGCGCCCATTGGCCGCCGGGCCCCCTACGTGCAGCACCACGTCACCAAATCTGAATAAGGATGCGCGAATTAGGCGGCGGCCAGACAAAGATGAGGATCTGGACCGCTTGAAAGTGGGGGAAAGTGCCGGCGCCTCCGCCAACCGGGAAAGCAGCTTGCCAGTACCGAAGCCAGCAGCCACCGGAGATACCTGGGGGAGGTCGGAGCCAGCGCCAGGGTGCGCCACCCGTGGCATGAGGCTGTGAACGCCACCGCCCTCCATCCCACTCGGGGCAGTTCTGCGCCAGGCCAGAGATTGTCCGGGGACTTGACCCGCTGAGTCTTGGTTGTTCCGGATCGGACTCGCCCCGGCGGCGGCCCAAGACACGAGGCTGAGAGCAACTGCGGCGGGAACCGGGAGCCCAAAGGGCCCGGGGCCCAAAGGAAGGACCAGGCGGCCGGAGCCGCCAGGGTGCGCGGCTATGATGGTGCACTGTGCCGGCTGTGAGCGGCCCATCCTCGATCGCTTCCTACTGAACGTGCTGGACCGCGCATGGCACATCAAATGTGTTCAGTGCTGCGAGTGCAAAACCAACCTCTCAGAGAAGTGTTTCTCTCGGGAAGGCAAGCTCTATTGTAAAAACGACTTCTTCAGGTAAGAGGCCCCCTCCGCCCTGCTGCCTGCCATTGGCTGGCCCGAGCTTGACCAGGTCACCTCGGAAGAGGAGACCAGGAGACCTATCCCAGCTTAGATGGGAGACAGGCAGCCCCTCGGCTCTCCGGAAACCTTGTTCGCAGCTTGTGAAAGGCCGGGGCTAAGGCGAGGAAGGAGGACGCTGCTTGGCTGCTTCACCTTGGGTTGGCCCAACAGCAGAGAGCAACCCCAAGACTGAGGGAGGAAGCCGGACAAACTTCCTCTGCGCCCTCTCTCTGCCCCTTTCCCCACACCCGAGTCTCCAGGACACAAGCTCTAACCTCCCACTCACTACAAGTAGTGCTTCGGGAGAGAAGCTGGGGGCTTCTCTCTTCCCAGCCCTGAATGCCTGAGTCCAAAGGGTACTCTGGGGACAGAAACTTCCCAGCTCCCAAGGGTCCCAGCCAGGAAGGGCTGTTTTGGAAATGAGCACAGGAACATTTCCTTTGCTCCCCAGACCTGACCCCTGGTCCATTTTCACCCAGGTTGAAAAGCAGGAAGAAATGGAGCCTGAGAATCCTTGGGTCCCTTCTACTATGTGTTCCCTCCCCTCCCCAGTCCTCATGGGTCCTCAGGCAGGCCAGGCTCCACAGTCTCAGTGAGCCTCAGTTTCCCCAGGTGGGAAATGCCAAGGCCCAATCTAGAAACCTGGGGCTGTGGGGTTCTGAAGCTGAGCTCTCTGCCTGCCTCTATCCAGCACCCAGAATGGCTTTTGTGAGTGTGGATTCCAGGCACTGAGAAGTGTGATTAGTTCCGAGGAGAAAAGCAGCCAATGGCCCCAGTGGCCAGGCACTTGGGAATTTGAATAGGAGAAAATGTCAGCCTTGCCTTTACACGTGTAAACTCCCCGGCCCTGGAGGCCCGGTGCTTCTAATGTGGCGTGCTTGCAAAGTGCCTAATGATTTTTGATAAGGTGTATATAGCCAATTACGGTACCGGATAAGGCCAAAAGTGACTTATGGCTTCTAATGCTCTTACTACATCAATGTCACCCAAATTCATCCTGTTTAGAGACATGGATGGGAGTGGATGTGGGGTCTCCAGAGTTCTGAGCCCTCTTCTTCCTCCGTAACAACTTGCATCTCACCTCCCCTTTTGGGGTCTGCACTGCCCATCATGGGGGGAAGCCAGGAAAGAAAGAAAGGGAATTGGTTTAGAGGCAGGGGAGGAGGGCAGTAGGGTGATCTGCGTCCTGGCCAGGCAGGACTTCAGATAACCTTCTATTCCAGTTTCCCTGCCATCTGCCAGGGCCAGAGATGGGATGGGGGGCAAAGAAACTCCACCCCTGGTCCCAGAATGTACTCCCTCTGCAACCCTGGAGCTGTCCACAGCTCCAGAAGGATGGGACCCTATGGGTCTCCCCAGTTAATGCCAGGAACCAGAGCAAGGTCTTAAGTCTAATCCAGAACAGGAGAATCTACCCAGCTGCTAAAGCCAGGCAAATAGACACAGTGGTCCTATGTGGACCCTCAATCCAGGAGGCAAAGCTTTAATGACTGAAACCTAGTCTTCCTGACTTTGAATTCTTTGTGGGCTTCTAAAACAGCCAAAACAGACTTGGCAGGGACCTGAGGGCAGAAGAGCCATCTTGGGATGCTCTGAAGCCCTGTCTGCCTCCAGGCTGTACTCTCAGCTCTCCCCTCCCTCAACTCTGTGGAGCCTGCATGAAAGCATTAGAAGCAGGGCCTTCTAGCCCCAAGAACAGCCCTCCACATTTGTCCCATTTCTGCTCTGGCCAGGGAAGCCAGAATTAGGGTTCCATTTGGCAGATATGGAAATGGAGGCTTCCAAGAAGCCAAGGTAGATCGGAAGAGGTTAGGGGCTGGAGAGGATTTGGGCACCAGGCCCACTTTCCCGCCCCACAGTGACAGGCGCCTTGGGTTGGTCCACAGGCGTTTTGGCACAAAGTGCGCAGGGTGCGCACAAGGCATCTCGCCCAGCGACCTGGTGCGCAAGGCCCGAAGCAAAGTCTTCCACCTCAACTGCTTCACCTGCATGGTGTGCAACAAGCAGCTGTCCACAGGGGAAGAGCTTTACGTCATTGACGAGAACAAGTTCGTGTGCAAGGAGGACTACTTGAGCTCCTCCAGCCTCAAGGAGGGCAGCCTCAACTCAGGTATGGAGGCTTCTGCCCTTCTGTACCCTGCATTCGGTCCTCCAGCCCTCCCACCCTAGCACCCAGCCTGGCACTCTACTCTCTGGGTCTGTGCTGGGCCCACAACTCCCTCTGATGTCAAGAGGGAATTGATACTGAGGAACCACGAGCGGGTTCTACAGGGAAAGTCGTTCTTTCTCTGGAGCCTTTCCCAAACTGCCCTCCTACCTTAATTTAGAACGACAAATGTTCTCCCTTCTGTGTCATTTGAGGTCTTGGTAATTTCTAGATGCATAGGGAGAGTACTTGTAGCTATTTAGAGGGAGCCGGGAAAAGATGTGAGGGGATGTCTGTACCCCCGCCCCCGTCCCCACTCCCTGAAGGCGGCTTCTCCAGAGGGCGTGCCCCCCTTTTTCAGGGACTGCCAAGGCGTGCTGGGGGCCTGAGAATTTCCTTTCAAAACCCAGCCCCGCCTGGAGAGAGTGGGCGGGCGCCCAGTCCCGGGGGAGGGGCTGTTCCCGGTTTGGGAGGGAACCCAGCGACCACCGGAGGATAGCCTGGGTCATCTGGCATCCGCCTCTGAATTGGATATCGCCGCTGTTGACGCCGCTGTCCTATCTCCAATCCGTCCGCCCGCAGTGTCATCCTGTACAGACCGCAGTTTGTCCCCGGACCTTCAGGACCCGCTGCAGGACGACCCCAAGGAGACCGACAACTCCACTTCATCGGACAAGGAGACGGCCAACACCGAGAACGAGGAACAGAATTCCGGCACCAAGCGGCGCGGCCCGCGCACCACCATCAAAGCCAAGCAGCTGGAGACGCTCAAGGCAGCCTTCGCCGCTACACCCAAGCCCACGCGCCACATCCGCGAGCAGCTGGCGCAGGAGACAGGCCTCAACATGCGGGTCATTCAGGTGCGGCTCGGTTGGCCATTCTCCCGACCCTCCGACGTGCCTCCCGTCTGGCCTAGGGACAGTCGGTGCACCCGAGGTCCGGGACAGCTAGGTATCCTCCAAAGGAGGGGAAATTTGATCGCAAAAATTGAGGCCAGCCCCACTGTCCTCCTGGCACTCTGATTTTGGACAGGGTCGCTTGACCTCTCTGCATCCCACCCCCCACCCTCCAGGGAAGGATTTGAGCACTTTGACCTCCACGCCCAGAAAGAGGCGATGTCCCCGCGCCCCTGAGCTGGCAAAGTGACCAAGGGCCAGAGTCGGGCTCCGCCGCCCAGGCGAAAGCCCGGCAGAGCAGGAGGCCTTTATAAAGCCGTCAGGCCGAGAACCGGGAAGCCCGGGTCTTTATGAGTCGCCCCACGGGTCTGAGAAATCCTTCACCCTTGGCTGGTTCGCCGAGGCCCCTCTCCGCCCCTCCTAGCCTAATCCGGTCCGACCCTCGCTACAGGGAAGTCCTGGTGTGCCCCAGGCGCTAGGACCCAGCAGGGCCAGCCCCAGGAGAGAAGGGAGGGTATTCCCGACCCCAAGCTCACAGCCTGGTCCTATGCCCCAGGTGTGGTTTCAGAATCGACGGTCCAAAGAACGACGGATGAAACAGCTGAGCGCGCTGGGCGCCCGGAGACACGCCTTCTTCCGGAGTCCGCGGCGCATGCGTCCGCTGGGCGGCCGCTTGGACGAGTCTGAGATGTTGGGGTCCACCCCGTACACTTACTATGGAGGTAAGGGGCGCCTGGTGACGCGCTGCTCCACGCCTAGGCGCACTGATCTCTGGGCTGCCGGCTCAGGGTCCCCGGCCTATGATTGCTTTCAACCACCAGGGACAGCCCTGGCTCTCTCGCACGCACGCAGGACACACACACACAAAGCGGTTCCTCGACAGACACATTAACGCTGGCCGCTTAACCCCCTACCGTACACGCACACCCACACAGGAGACGTGGTTACACATACACCGCTTTGCATCACTGCATATAACCACACACAGGTACATTCCACTCCACACACACAGCCGCGGGAGGGACTACAGACCCACACTCCCGGAGTCATACACAGGCACCACTGCTAAACCCCAGACTCCTCTCTCCAGCCTCTCTCCACCCGCCACGCACCTCTCAGTCACCATTCTTTGCTTGTGGCCTGTGGCTTGAGGAAGGCTGAAGGCATGAGGGAAAAGCAGCCTGCATTCATTTGCTAGCTTAGGAGGCAGCAATTCCGGTCCAGATGCAGACACCCTGAGTGCCGATGTCAGCACCAGTAGCCCAAATGCCCGTGTGGCTCAGAGGTCCCCTCCAGTTCCAAGCACACAAGTTGATCTGCAATGGGGGAGTGGGGGCACAGATGCCCTAACTGTGACTTCGGTACCGGGAGAATAACCAGTCGGTTTTTGCGGAGAGGCTCCAGCCAGCAGTGAGCGCTCTGCTTGTTCCCTTCTTTTACTCCCGGGACTAGTGTCCTACCCCAGCTCCGGGCTGGGCTCGGTGAGCCTCCTCGCTAAGGGCACGGTGCACCACCACCCACCCTTCTGCTCCGCCTAGGGAAAGGAAGGAAGCACTTCTCAGGCTTCCAGGGCCTTCTGGTTTAAGGAGCCACAAGCCACCTGCCAGCTCAGGGCTCCTAACCAGGTTTGAGACGACAGTGACTTCCCTTTAAAAATGTAGATTCAGGGACAAAGCGGGAAGGACCACGGGTGGAAGCCCGGCCTCCTGGAGGAAAGTAGTAAGAGAACCCCAGGGCAGCCTCCGTGTACCGAAGCCTGGGAAGTTAATCTGGACACTACGAGGCCGAGGCCCCTTAGAAATTGCTGGTAAAATGCAAAAAAGTGATTTTTCTGCAGTATCCGGTCCCAAATTGGGGAGCCTGGACAGTCGGGTGATGGGCGTGTCCTCCAGAGTCTCCACTTCCACTCTCCCCACCTAGCTTTTCCTCTTCCACACAAAATCTCAGCCTGAAGCCTGGAGGTGATGGGGGCCGTACCCGCCTGGAATTTTTCCCCGCCTGAGTGATTAACTAAGGTTTGGGGAGAACCAGCCCACCGCGCTCCAATCCGGCCGCCCCCTCTCTTTGCAGGCCTGCTGGATAGGGTGGCGGCCAGGACACCAGGGACTCTTTGCGGAGAACCGAGTCGGGGGTGCGGGACTCCCCCGCCCCCAGCCGAGCAGCCCCGCCTAATCCTCACTGGGAGATCCCGAGGTGGTGGCGGCCGGCAGCGGGCGAGAAAGGAGCCGGGCGGCGGAGCTCGCGGCTCCCCGTGGGAGCGGGGACAAAGCCCCAGCTGCGGCTTTTGTGCCCCTTTCAGACAGCGTTTGTTCCAATTACCTCCGGCCGGCCGCCATATGGGCGGAGGCGGCGCGTACCGCGCTCAGGCCGCTGCCTTCGCTGCTTAGCGCGCTCTCCGTGGGCTACCGTGGTTCCTCTTCTCGGTACCTTAGGGGCCCCCAAATTCATCACTCTCAACATTCTCCTTCACTTTGGGGGAGAATAGAATTTGAGGTTTTCAAAAAGTAATTGGCGACCTTTTTAGCTGTTATTTAGATTGTCTCTGCGCAAACCTCCAGACAACCCCCTCCCAATTTGGATAGGTTTCAGGGTTTAGAAAAGACGGGGCAGGGGGGAGTGTTCCAGAACCCGCCTGGGACTTAGACCCCAGAACTGAGTAAGGGGAGTGGGTTTGCAGAGAAGAGTTTGGCCCTCTTGGCCTGCTGGATTTCCCGCGGTGCAAAGCGGGATGTTGTCGCCTGAGCTACAAGACGCTCCTTTCAGAGGGATACTGCACCCCAGTCCTGGAGTGGCCAACCTAGAGCTGTGATCAAAGAAGAGGCCAGAGGGAGGTAGCAAAAGCAATTTGTTACGGTAGGATGAGGGATGATTTGTGCCCCTGAATTTGGGAAGAGGGCTTGTGCATCTGTGCCAATTTCTGCAAACGCTTGGGAACCTGGGTGTACCAACACAGTCACCCGGGTAGAGACTGGAGGACCAAGGCTCTACCCAGCTCCCTGGTGGCTGTGAATGGTCGCGACCTCGCTGTCTCCGGAGTCCCGGGGCTCAGCTTTCTCGATTACAGGCGGGACTAGGCGCGGCGCAGGAGTGTGCACTGACCCGTAGGCCCTGTGCGGTGTGTACCGCGAGGGCCGGGAGCCCAGCCCGCAAACCGGCTGCTTTGTACACTCTGGGTGCAGCCAGAGTCCGGCTTCTCGCTGGTATCGCCTCCGGGGTCTCGACCCCTTTGGCGTTCTGCTGGGCACCAGTAGATTCCTTCCGGAGCTCCCCATCCCCAACCCCCACCCCCACCCCACTCTTAGCCCCCGAGCCTCTGGCGGTTCCTCACACTCGTCTCTGATCCACTGTCTCTGGGTGCATCTATCTATCCGTCTTCAGTCTCGCTGAGTCTTTTGCCCTGCACCCTGGCCGCATTCTCTTAACTCTTTTTGCATCTTTTCGACTCCGTCTTCCTGGGCCTGCACTCTCTCATCTTTGCCTGGACTTGGAGAGCCGCGACCCTTCGGCGCTCCCCTCCACCGCTATTCGCCCCCGCAGCGCTGCCGCTCAATCTCTAAGTTCAGTCTCTCTGTCCCTCACTCTCTCCTTGGTTCCGCCTCCCTCCCCTCCCCGAAGCGGCAGAGAACCTTCGACGTTGGAGTCTTACCTCCCTCGCTGCCTTCATCTCTCATTACTTCTGAGCTCCTGCAGCTTCCGTGTCCCTCCCAGTCCCAGTTCCTCGGCCTTTCTGTTTTCTGTCGGAGCCTTATCGGAACTCCCCTGTACCCCGCTTCCATCTTCCATCTTGAGCCCACTCCCTTGGTCTCTTCGGCCCCTCCTTGGGTCTCTAACCCAGGGTCACTGGCATGCTCTCCCGCGCCCCTGGACACATCCGTGCGCCCCGGCCTTGGCATTCTCGGTCCCCTCCCCGGCTCCTTCTCCGTCCTCTGTCTGTCTCACCCAGTCTCTTTCCCCCGCCTTTCCCACAGACTACCAAAGCGACTACTACGCTCCGGGAGGCAACTACGACTTCTTCACGCACGGCCCGCCGTCGCAGGCGCAGTCCCCGGCCGATTCGAGCTTCCTGACCGCGTCAGGGCCCGGCTCCACACCACTGGGCGCCCTGGAACCGCCGCTGGCCGGCCCGCACAGCGCGGACAACCCCAGGTTCACCGACATGATCTCGCATCCGGACACGCCGAGCCCAGAGCCGGGCCTGCCGGGTGCGCTGCATCCCATGCCAGGGGAAGTGTTTAGCGGAGGGCCCAGCCCGCCCTTCCCGATGAGCGGCACCAGTGGCTACAGCGGACCCCTGTCACACCCCAACCCCGAGCTCAACGAGGCGGCCGTGTGGTAAGGCCGAGGGACCGGGCCACCCCCCTGCGATCGTGCCCGGGGGGGCCGCAGCCTCTCCCAACCAAAACGCAAGATTCGACTCGGCCACTGTCTGGGTCACCCTCAGGGGTCCTCTCTCGGGTCCGCACCCATTGGGCAGCAAGCTGCTCCTCAGCTGGGCACCGACCCGCGTCTCCACCCCCCAGAGCTTCAGCCCGTAGCCTGCGCTCTCCCTGCAGCCGTGAGCAATTTCTTGGGACCAAAGTCAATATTCTGGAAGGTCGAGATTCCAAACACGACCTGGACTCCCCCGGACCCCCACCCACTATCATCTCTGTGAACCAAGAGAGGGCCGAGGCCAAAAGGCGGCAATCATGGCTCTACCCGTCTCTGCGAACCAAGGTGTGTGTAATCTTATTTCTCACTTTCTTCATCTTAAAAAAAAAGATAAGAAAGAGAGAAAGCGATTGAAAGAGAGAAGAGATGGGGAAAGCCTCAGCCAGAAAAGATGGAGAAAAGACCGCTGGTGAATGAGGGCCTCGCTGGAAGACAAATCCACCTGCGAGTTGGCGCCCTCTGGTGTCCAATCTTGAGGCTCAAGGTCAGTTTTCCTAGGAAGCAGGACAGTCAGGACAGAAGGGGCCAGCTCCCTGATCTTCCATACTTTGACATTAATTTTGAGCCCAGGCCCAAGTAGCTGAGCTCTTGCCCGTAGACCACCCTCCCTGCCCGGGGCCTGGAGGCTGGGCCGTCAGGACGTACAATATTATACTTTTTTGGAAGTTGAACACTTCTAGTTTCCTTATTTTGTATAAAGAAGAAACAAATAAAGTATGTTTTTGTGTTTACTGTTTATTTATTGTACTCTAGTTATCTGGTACTGGACATTTTTATATTTTTAAGAGGAGGGTGGGGCGGAGTGGGAGAAGGGAGCCAGAAGAGGTTTACCTAAAAAAAAATAAAAATAAAAACACAAACACAAAAATATCAACTTTTTTTAAAAAGAAAGATTAATAAAAAAATTCTTTTTTCCCTCAGCTCTGTGTGGTCTTCTTTTCCATCCTAGTATCTAGAGAGTCAGAGCAAGTTAAACTATTATTTCATTTCTTGTTTTTTTTCTTTCCGACATCAAAACAACGTGATGGGTACAAAGACCCTTCCTCCATCCATTAGGGGTTTTTGCTTTGGTGTAGTTTTTGCTTCCTTTTGGGTGGTTTCTTTTTTAATTTTTTCAAATTTTGAGACAAGGGACTGAAGAGATGGCTCAGCAGTTAAGAGCACTGACTGCTCTTGCAGAGGACTTGGGTTCAATTCCTAGCACCTACATGGTGGATAACAACCATCTGTAACTCCAGTTCCAGGAAATCCAACACCCTCTTCTGACCTCTGAGGGCATTGCAAGACATAGGTACTCTTACATATATACACTCATATGCACGAAATAAAAATAAGTAAATTTTTTTTATTATTTTTATTTTATGTGTATGCATGTATTGCCTGTGTGAAGGTAAGTGCACCCATATCATGCAATGCCCATGGAAGACAGAAGAGGCTGTTGGATCCCCTGGAACTGGAGTTATGGACAGTTGTTAGCTGCCATGTGGATGCTGGGATTCAAACCCGGGTCCTCTGCAAGAACAACCAGTGTTCTTAATTGCTGAACCATCTCTCCAGCCCGTAAAACATTTTTTTTTAAAAATGATAAATTTTAGCTGGGTATGGTGGTGCACACCTTTAATCCCAGCACTTGGGAGGCAGAGGCAGGAGGATCTCTGTGAGTTCAAGGCCAGCCTGGTCTACATAGTGAGTTCCAGGACAGCTGGGGCTACAGGGAGACCCTGTCTCAGAAAGACCAAAAATAAATAAATAAATAAATAAATAAATAAATAAATAAATAAATAAAATAAATTTCGAGACAAGATCTTATGTGAGACTCCAGCCCTGGTTAGCCTGAACCTTGATATGTGGAACAGGGTGGCCTCAGACTCAGAAATTGGCCTGCCTCTGCCTCCCAAGTGCTGGGATTAAAACTGTGCTTAAATGTGTGTGTGTGTGTGTGTGTACGTGCATATACCATGATGTGCACATGGAGCTTAAAGGGCATCTTGCAGGAGTCAGTTCTCTCTTTCTGCCATGTGGGTCCCAGGGATCGAACTTAGGTCATCAGAGGCTTGGCAGCAAGCACCTCTGCTGGATGAGCCATCTTGTCAGTCCTGTTACAGAAGTTTCTATTCACCAGTTAGAGGATGTTCTCCTGCTTTCATGTTGATCTAACACAAGTCAGCCAGAGACTTAATAGGCCTTCAGAATGACTGAGGAATGAACTGATGTGTGCTTTATCTGCCTTTACTATATCAAAAGAAGCCCAGCCCAACATGATGGTGCATGCCTGTCACCTCAGCATTTGGGAGGCAGAGGCAGGAGGACTGCTAGTCAAGGACAGCCTGGGCTATGTAGTGCGACCTTGTCTCAGAGAAGGGGGGTGGGGAGAGACTGAAAACAGAAGAGGCAAAGGGTGCAGGCCATGTGAGCAGCAGGCAGCTGTTATCTGCAAGGCTGTGTTAGAGCAGAAGGGTCCTGGGGTGGGCCAGGTGCTCTCCAACCCTCTTGTGCTTTGTCTTTAAGAAAAGGCAAAGCATGCTGGACTGTGGTGGTGTATGCCTTTAACCCCAGTACTCAGGAGGCAGAGGCAGGTGGATCTCTGTGAGTTCAAGGCCAGCCTGGTCTACATAGTGAGTTCCAGGACAGCTGGGGCTACAGGGAGACCTTGTCTCAAAAAGACCAAAAAAAGAAAAAAAGAAAAGGCAAAGCAGAGAAGCCCAGATGTGTTTTTATTGTTGCTTTGGTTTTTGAGACAGGGTCTTGCTGATGCCCCACCACAACTGGTTTATGCAGTGCTAGGGATCGAACCCAGGACTCTGTGCATGCTGGACTACAGCCCCAGCCCCCACACGTAATTTATGAGACCTGAGGCCACTGATTAAAAACAAACCGCTCTTCCCTTCAGGCCTCCATGTCCTTACATGTAGAAATGGAGGTTGGAGGGACTGCTCCCTACACTCCCTTCCACCTTAGGCATGATAGGATTAGAAAGGCAGAACCAGATACAAATGAAAGCCAGTATCCTGTCTTTGGTCCCTTGTCACCCAAGCTCAGGGTAGGAGAGCTGGCGATAGCTGGAGGAGACAGGAGGGGGTAGGTAGGATGAACTGCCTGGAACAGGCACATTGCAGCTGTCCTGCGCCAGACCCTCACAAGATTCCTGCAAGGTGGCCTGGCCTTCCTTACTGCACTGTGGTCTTCACCCGGCAAATGCTATTTGTCCATTTTTGAGAAATCTCGGATTAACAAAAGGCAGGAAATCCCATAACCCCCGAATGTGAGGCACTGTGGTGAGGTGCGTCTTCAGTTCTTTTGTTGTTGCTTTTCTTTGTTTTGATTTTTTAAGACGCAGTCTCACTATATAGCCCTGGCTGACCTGGAAGTTACTATGTAGGCTAGGTGCTCAAACTCAAAAAGCCCCATCTCCTCCTGTCTCCAGAGCATGTTGGGATTAAAGCATGTGCTACCATGCCGGGCCTGGACTGCACTTTCTTGCAGCCTGTTTTTCCTGTTATTTTGAAACCCAAGACTGTACTCTGTGCACACCATGGGGTCACCTGCTCTTGGCTCCCTCAGATCATTTTCCAGATTCACAAGTAGATTGTGGACAGAGGCAGGTCAGGCTCTGTCATCACTAGGAGACGTTCCTTGAATTGGATGAGCCATCCTTGTTTTATTTTTTTGTTCTGTTTTGATTTAAAGCAAGTCTATTGTGAATGTGTGGGTTGGTCTTGCTTCCACTGCGTTTGCCGGCACAGGAATAAACACCCTGGCAGTGACAGCTCCACACTTGTATTGGAAGGTGTTATTTGCCCCGTCAGGATGTTGGCAGAGGTCGAAGGACTAGCCCAAGGTCACACAGCTAGGGAGTGGCAGAGGCAGGACTCAGTGCACCCATATGTCAGGCTCTTTCTGTTCCTCTGGGGTGTTCTGGCTATGGCAGATTCTAGAGTGCTGGGGGTAATTTTTAAGTTAGGCCTCCAGCTCTACTTTCTGGGCAAGTGTGAATTTTGGAGGAAGGCTTGTTTAGAACATCCACCAAGGACACAGGGGACAGAAAGCTGGAGGTAGAAAGGACTCGCCCCTTGCTTCCCTGCAAACAGGGCAACAGAGGCACCAGGGAAGGGGAAGGGAGGGGAGAAGGAGAAGAGGAAAAGAAGCCGGGGGAAGTGAGGCAGACAGCAGGGAAGAGGCAGAAAGAAAATGGAGGGAGAGTGGGGAGGTAATGAGAGGAGAGACAAATGTTACAGAAAACTACGCCCAAGCCCATAGTGTCCAAGACCACAGCCACTGTCTAGATGGGAAACTTGAGCTCAGAGGTGTCAGGGAGCTCCAACCATGGGGGACAGAAGAGCTCATATTGGGGCCACCCCCATTCTTTCTTCTAGGCAGATACATGTGCAGACATGCAGACACACACCACAGACATGTATGGGGTCATGCTTATACACATCTTCCCTTGCAAATATCAGGGCACAAACAGAAGCACCATGCAGATAGGTGTTCATGGACACATGGGTACACATACCAGCTCCATGGGCACACACCTGCATATAAACACAGACAGGATGTACACGTGAAGATGAGTGTATGACAGTATACATTGCCTCTGAACACAGACACACCACATGTACCATGCACACACCTTGCCTACACTGTGTCTAACCCCCATGGACATACACATACACACACACACACACACACACACAGTGTCCTAGCAAGTGGGTACACACACCCACTCAGAGGCTATGCCTGCCTCTCCAAAGCCTATAAGCTCAGCTCAAGAAAACAGGAGAGAGGGGCCTACCCTTGGTTGGGGGAGGCACTAAATATCCTCGTAGTCCACCAAGGTCTCAGAGGGGTTCCAGAAGCCTCCTCAAGGAAGGCACTGACTTCTAGAGGCACAGTCAGTACTGGTCTAAATTCCCCTGCCTTTCCCTTTCATGAGTGAGAAAGAACAGGCAGAAGGGGGTGGATGGGACAGAACAGAAGAGAAGCTCCTGAGCTCCCAACGCTATCCAGCTTGAGGAGCCAGAGGCCAGTCACTGAGTCACCTTTCTGAGCCTTGGGTTGCTCCACTGTGAAATGGGCTCTCCAAGATTTCATCCAGGAAGGGTGGTGCAGATTGTAGAGTAAGATACAGGGAATCTGGTCCTTGTTCAGTCCCCATTCCCAACACACACACACACACACACACACACACACACACACACCAGCAAGCTTGAAGAGAGGCAAGAATTCTTGAGAAAGCCTGACTTGGTCCAAATCCACCCCTAATGCTATGAGCTCATTTTAGCTTTCCAGGTATCTTTGGGGCCAAGGGCACAGGTAGGAGAAACTCCATCCTCACCTGCCCTAGCATAGTGCCCTGCAGGTGCTGGGTAAGGACCAAGAACACTCAGGGGAGCAGAGTCTATGGAAGGCTGGATGAGAATGGGGGTGGGGGAGACTGGAAAGGGATATTTGTGCCCTAGAATCCACAACCATTTTCTCAAACTAGGACACTTACTAAAAATGAGTGTGTCCTGGTTCTTAGCACCCATAACTAAAGCGAAGTACAAAAGGCCTCACATTTACCAATTCCCCTAGAGATTCCTATGCCTTCCCAAGTTTGTGGGACCAGTGTGCAACAGGGCTTTACTTGCCTTAGCCAGA